AATAGAAATACACCGCATATCAATTAAATCATCAAAGTAACCAATAATCATCATAAAATACGTATGAATTCAATAGATAATTCTATAGTTTTCGAACTTATCGGATAATAATTCAAAGCCACATAGTTTGTTCTAGTACGTACACTGATGTTAACCTAATCAATATAAAGTAAAGTGTAAAATAAAGTAAAAGTTTTCATGGAGAATACACTTAGTAGCAAATAAATATAATATATTGGGAGCAAAAGTATCAGGAATTTGACAAATTCAACAGTCTTATCTAAAGTGTCAAGTAGCTCATCTGTTTAGAAAAATCAACAGATTTGTAAAATGTTTTATGGTCGAATCCCATCTCAGATAACTAAAACTAGAAACTTTATGTATTTTCTCTATAACTAATTGACCACAAAAATTCAATTCCATATTCCAGTTTTAGAAAGATAACAATATTATTATTCGTGAATTTTATAATGACAAAGCTATTTTAATTTAGGGAAACTGTTTAATCCCATCAAAAACATAACATATAAAAGTAACACAACGCAATTCTTCTGCAGTAAAAAGTTATGAAATCAATGTTAATCTAGTCGAATAATTCAGTACCTATATTTCTGTGAAAGCAGCTATCAAACCTTGTCGTAGATTAAGGAATACTTGGCAAACGCAAAAGCTTTTAGACTTAGACTTTTTAAAAAGTGTTTTGGTATTACGATAAATCATATGATAAATCTGCAGGGCAAATGCATCTATAATCAGTCTAATAAATCCAGAATACCACCAAAGAGTTGATTAGATATAAACAGTTTAGTTATGTGAAGAATCAACTTAGCCCTTGTCTTATGTATCGATCATTATACCTATGGATATATTAACGAAATCCATTTGGCACCGTTTGCTAGCCTTTCCTTGATTTAGTCTGTACGTTACGTTGATTTATATATCTGCTTTTCCGAAGTTTACCTATGGTAACAGTTCTCTTATCATAGAATTTTAATGATGTATATTTTATTTTCTTTTTGGTAAATGTTTGTACCACACATAGAGATAAGGGTATCGCTTAGTGTTAAAATTCTCTTTGCTTTGTGTGACCAAGCAATAGATTGACGGATGTTTTCAAAATGCTCTACAGTTATAAATAATACAAAAATCTTAAAAAGGGAACAAATATCGCATAATATTAGATTTTTCCTTACTTTGTATGCAAAATAATAGCAGTGTTCATAATTTGGAGTCGGTCTGCTAGAAGTACCTTAGAATTTTGATGATGTATCAGTCAGTGATAGTGAAAATTAAGGTTTTGAATTACAATAATTTTTAAAGTGCTCGTTCAAATTTGATCTGATTTCGAAATATGCCTCTTGGTTACTGAGAATTTAGGCTTCTAGTGTACTCCACAGCGAAGTTACAAGGGATCAGAAATGGTCCGAATGGCTTCGAGAAAAGGGTGGTACGGCCGTGCACTTATTACTATATTGCTCGACTTGGGGGGCTTTTTCGTGCCCACAGATGAAACAAAAATCTCATGGAATCACTGAATTCAGATCAGAGGCCTAATTGTCTAATTTTAAAATCGCAATCCCTTTTAATTTGATATTTGTAAGTTACGAATTTCACGCTACAGCGACATGATATGTGACAGCGAATGTGATCGCATTGTTTTTTTTAAGATATGGAAAGACCAATATCGTTATGTTGATGTTAATTGGATTTTTTTAATACAAGCGTTATTACTTTAAGTTACTATGTTTAATTATGTTTCTTGGTCATTCAAATCGTCATTCTTTCTAAAAACGATTCTGACTTCAAAAGTTACATGATTCTAAAAATCGCTATACCTTTGATTATTACTCCACAGGGATCTTTCAATCGAGTGCACTTCCAACGACTCTTTATCTATGCTCAAGATAAAACGTTAACATAGGTTTCTCTGGGTAATATCTAAACCCAGAATTATTAATAGTTGCTTCAAACTCTTATAAAAGTTGAAACAATGAAAAGCTTTTATTCAATCAATTCATAAACCAAAGTCGCTTTACATCTATCTGTCTGTCCCTATGTATGCTTAGATCTCGAAAACAACTGATTTTGATGCGGTTTTTTGATAGAGAGGGTGATTCAAAAGGAATGTTTCTATTTAAAATACAGGACCATGCAGGCGAAGCCACTGTCGGAAAGTTAGTTTAATGAATATCAAGTACAACAAATCTTAGAACCAAATCATTACAGGACAAACAGCCAGTTGCACAAACGTCCATTAATTTTTTCATTAGTCTAAAACGACATTACCCATACAAATTTGATATTCATTAGAGTTTAAAGACGTCACTAAACCTTAATGGACGTTTGTGCAACTGACCGATAGTAACGTCGTATTAAAAAAGCACATCGAAGTATGAAGTTAAATATCTGCAACTTTGTGTAAGTTAAAATAGTATTATTCTAGTTTCCGTTATTGCCGAATAAGAATTAATTAATGGTTATGTACAACAAATCGATTAACAAAGAAAATGCTTTTATTATTCTAAATCCTTTTTGCCGGTTACGGCATTACACGAAGAAACGTACAAAAGCTCTTATCCACACGTCCGGCGACCAAAGACTACTAAATGAAGATTACATAAAAGTAAAGATTACCCGACAAGACTGTAGTGAAAAATAAATGAAAATTCACAACCTATGCTTAACAATAAAGTAGCTCAACGACGAAAGAGGATTTGTTTATTATCTTCCTTTGGAGTCACTGAAAATTCCCTTATCGATGATTACGTAAACCATTCAGTTTCGGTATGCCTCGCATTCCGTACACCCTGAGGAGTCCTCTTTTATACGTTAGCAGTCGGCTTCTAGGAAAAAAGTTACATTTCGTGTAATGTTTCTGCTCTATCCGTTTATTATTTGAGAAATTCTCACCATAAACAAGAACTTGAATATCTAGTTGCATGAGAAGATAATTAGCATATATTTCTGATATTATAAAACGTAAAGGTTTTTTAAACGTTATTTGGACGCTTTAGGAAATTTGTAAAAATTCAGTGTGCACTTAATTTAAAAAATACGTGGTTAATAATAAAAATGTGTTTGTAATTAAAACCTTTGATCTTTTTTAATGACAAGGGCATTATAACGATGGGGTCATTCCCCGCCCTATATATTTATTCCAATTTAACCTTGCCTGTGGGTAACGTAACACTTTAAATACTAGCCATTTTGAGGTTCACACCGTACTTTGAAAGTTCATAACTAAACATGACACTTTTAAAACATACGATATTATGAAAGAAAGTGTGAAACAAATAATTGGTAAAATACTCACAGATTATTGGTAATTCCTATAGAGGCTATATTGTTGCAGCACGGTCGCGCGGAACTGATTTCAGAAATTAGTAGTATGGGGAGTGATTCGTGCAACACTGATGGGGAATCGTGGGACAGCGCAAGCCGGTCGGGATATTGATTTTGGGCGGGAACATTTTCCGCGAATGTGGCGCCTCTCCTACACCGACTTAGAACTTACTTAGCAGACTTACGAGTCAACAAAAACAGCTCGTTAGATGGCGCGGCTGCTCAATTTGCATAGGGGTAACATTCCATGTCCCACGTTAGCTGCAGATCTTTCTAAATCATATATACATTATATTACTATAGTATGTAAACCTCCAGGTATTTTGATATCGTTCCTATTAACAGATATCTATAAAAGCGTTGCTAATATGATATACCTACTGTACCTGGAAGTTGATGGCAGATTTTTATCAATATACTTACATTTTGTTTATTACTATTGTAATAAATATGATAATATGTTTAAATATTAAATTATCAAGTTTAAAGCACAAATATAAAATTTTAGAAAAAAAGCTTTAGCTAATACTTAATGTAAATTTACGATGCTAATTCTATGGAAAAAAAAATGTATTGATAACATTTTCCTAGTATATGACCGACTAGAATCAAAAAATCTTATTCGTTAATAAATTTACGTTCATAAAAAATAATACACTTTAAAACTTTTATTTTTCAAATAATGCTTTCCACAAATTACACCATACGCGCGTTGAATTCTACTAGACGGGTGTGAAAATTTTCGTAGCAAACTACGAAAAAACAAACATGAAAAGACTTAATATTAATATGTCTGCAAATAATTAGTTTGCATTTCTTTGTGTTTATTTAGCTTCTCTTAATAAAGCAACCACTAGTAATCTGCAATAAATAAATTTATCGGTTTGCGGTTTGTAGCACCTCATTATTTTTCAACTTTTACTGCTTGGCATGGCGTCGTTAAAGTAAAAAGATATTGGAAAATAAAAAGGGGAATGTGTCTGTCTGGACTTTAAAGGGGTCGGTGGTATACCTGCGCCCACGTCTGTGTGCGTGCGTGTGTGACGAGGCGGTTGCGCGTGAGTGTATTTCATAATGTTGCTTATTGGCGCAGTATTGCGTAGATGATTCGTTCACACTTGAGCTTTTTATGACTGTTACACTGAGTTATTTTTTTTATAAGTCTTAGCTCGATAGAATAATTATAAAAACTCTTTTCGATTTTTAGTTATTCACATAATTCAGCTAGCGTATTTTTTTTTTTATAATTCAATCAATGCAATGTTCATTTTCTATTTTTTTATCAGCTCTGTATAACTTTAAACTTTAGACTTTGATGGCGAATACTGGCACATAATATAATAATATTAGGTACACGTCATATTGAAATTTAAGTTCAGAATAAGCGGTTATATTTGACATTTTGTAGTAGCTCTTGAAGTTCTGTTGTTTTAACGATTCAACTTGTAGCCTCATATTAAATCGTCCAATGTAGACGCATCCGCTTACAGAAAGTAAAGTTTGTTGTTCTCGTAACTCGGTCTGCGGGCACAGTGCCGCTCCGACCCGCGCGCCGACCGGTCCGCCGCCATGACGCGTTAACGCTTATCCGCCAACTGTCAGACCAACTGTCATTCATTGCTGTCAAACTAACATAACAACTGTCAAAGTGTTACAAAATGTGGTTCGTGTGGAGTTCAGTTTTCGCCAGCGTATTGCTGATAGCGCGGGCACAGGTAACGGCTACTTCTACTTATTTTATGCAATCACGATAAACAGGCCCGTGTTGCACTAACAAACGAGGTTCTCGGCGATCGTAATAATACTTAAGTTTGATTAATTGATCTTCACTATGATATGTAATCGAACAATAACGTGTGTTGAGCTCTTTACGAATGACGAAACTTTAAAGGCTGTCTATTCTCGGACAAACTTGAAGGTTAGGCGACGTTTTTCTTAATAGAATCATTCGTCAACAGAATTCCAATAACAACCATCATGACGTACTCATGACAGATTAACTTGAAACTTCTGAAGAGTCAATAAAAACAAACCATGTTATTATCAATAACTTAACACACATTATTTATTAGGTATTATTTTTAATATTAGTTTCATTGCACATTAAAGAACGATAATAGCATTTCCAATATTAATATATTTGTTTATTTTACTTTCAATCATTTCAACATTAATTCTTGATTGATTGGTAACATTAAAAGGTAACTTTATGCGTGGGTGACACAATTCGCGAGACAAAGTTTTTGGCATCTTATTTTATTAGGTTTTATACTTATCTTATATTTAATTGTAGAGCTCAACGGATTTTACATTTTTTGCTAAATATTTTCATTTAAATACGATTTTCAGCACCGTAACCGCAAATTCCTACTCGGTTGAAACAAGATTAGGACAGATCTCGTACGGTTTAAGCCACAGACAAAAAATTTAAACTAAAATACGAAAAACAAAAACTGTTAAAGCACCAGGTACTGTGCTTTAAAAAGCATTCAACAAAACCACGATAATTTTCAAAGTAATTTAATCATCATTTTGTGTAGGTAGGTAGCATTTAGAAAGCCAGCGCTACATACTAAATAATAGCACCACATTGCTCCAACTAAATATCGGTATGTATCTGACGGAAGATCCGTCCTGCATCATCAGTCGCGGAACACTAGAACTAATAAAATATATAATATCATAGATAAATAAGTAGCTTTTCGCCAGCAGCTTCACCGGTATGGATTATGTGCTTAATGAACCGCTATTTAAACATAGAGGTTGAATATTTCAAAATTATTTCATCGTGGACTGGTATTTATCTTTTTTTATGTATTGATGACATTCAATACTGCATTGCATACACACTCGATGAATGACCCATCAGTTCGTCGAACGTACTAACGCATACTTCCGTTGCTCCGAGTTTATATTTAGTAAGATTTTTACCGAATTAACAACCGATCGATACCACAGTGATTATAAGTGTAAATTCAAATCATTTACCAAGCAATTTGATAACATTTTTACGTAACACGCAATAGAACATTCAGAATTCGGTGAAAGTAAAGATACCATAAAGTATTCATCAAATATATGGAATTCTATTCAGTTACCGAATAACAGCTGAATAATTGATCATAATATGAATGCTTGTTCATGCTAATCACCTTTATTGATTAGTGTATTTTGTTCATTTGTGCAGTACTTTGTTATAGTATGAAAGAGTTTAATTTTATTACTACGGCTATCTATCAATTGTTAAAATTTACCATTAAGTTTGAACATATACCTCTTATTATAAAAGTGAGAACTAATATTAGTAGGGACTTGTAATAAGCCAAGCCACATGTTTTAAGATGTAGAGTCTGTAAGCTTGGCTCTACATGAGATCCGGGCCTCAAATCTATTAAGTTTTTTGCATTTATTTTGCCTTTGCATTGTCTAACTGAAGTCCTATATTATTGTAAATGAGGGAGATATATTTATTATTTTATGATCTAGGAAAGGAACTGTGTCATAAATGGTTCTAATTGTAGCGCTATTGACTTTTAGCAGAATTGCCCTACTGAAAACTTTTTGCCATTGCGAACTATATGGTGTCTTGGCACCATTTTACATGAAAATGTCTTTGGCAGTATTAATGTTATAAGTTCTACTTCGAGACCGTAGGCTGCTTAATATATATCATACAAAGTTGAAAGAAATAGAATCTAGGTAATTAACACAGCACCTACATTTTGATAAAACAGCCTCTACGTCGTCAATTCGTCATCGAACTTTAATGAAATAAAACATTTATTACTTTTTTGTAGTAGGTTTTAATAAATTGAACCTCTATGCTACTCGCTCTTACTACCCTGAAAGCATGGTCGTCCATTCCGAAAGTAGTCTAGCGTGAAGGTAGATAAATACATTATCAATAACAACTAAACTTCTCATTCAACATTCAAAAATATTTTACTGTTATTACATATATACCTATAAAGTACTTGCGGGATATAAAGACCACGACATTATAAGGCCCACGAATGAAATGTCGTGCTGAAATACTCCTATTCTTCCATAACCATCACCAGCCCTTTTGCGTCCCCACTGCAGGGCCTCAGGCCTACCTTATGGATGATTAAGGAGGATGGGCAATGACCCTCCACGCTGGCCCAATGCGGATTGGAGGGTATTAACGACTGCAAATGCAGCCGGGACCAACGGCTTAACGTGCCTTCCGAAGCGCGAAGTAGCTCGAGGTAATAATTTTTTATGGTCACCCATCCCGTGACCCTTGCTCAAGTTGCTTAACGACTACGATCGCGGGCCGCGGCGCTTATCCACTACGCCACCGAGCTACTCCTCATATTCTTATTTTTTTTTTATTACTCACACATGCATAACAGCGATTTAAACGCCGTGTTATGCGTGTATGAGTAATTTTTGGCCAACAATATGAGTATTTTAGCAGCAATAGAAGTGTATTAGCAACTATTTTTAGAGGTGGGACTTATTACAATTATTTGTCGCTTATAACTTAGAGCTACAAATGCCCGTTGCATATTATCCTTGTCTGAGTTTATTTCAATCCTTTTGACGTTAGTTTGTGTTACAGCCTACGGTCCTTCTGATAATGTCGAATATTTATGGGTATGCTGTATGCAAATGAGATAATAGAAGGTTGATCAGCTGCGCAACTGTATAAATAGAAACTCAAATTGTTTCATGCGGTTAGACACTGGTTTTATTTAAACCATAGGTACTTCGGCTTAGACTTCCTTATTTATTCAATATTGTTTCATAACGTTGTTTATATTATTTAATAAATAAGTTCCTTATGTCCTTTTCTCCTTTATTTCATCATTATTATCTAGGATTTGATACAATATTGGATTATTTTGGTTGCTTTCTAATAATAACCTATTTGCTTAGATTATATAATATCCCTGTATATATATATTAAGTAGCTTTTCTCCAAACTAGATAATATACTTTTACAAATATTCTACTACTTACGTTTTATTTAAAGAATAAGTGCTGGAAGTAATAATATAAAAGTTATTAAATTTTTTTGGTGCTACGTTTGTTCAGTCCAAAAATTACAGTATTTATTGTTTGTTCGCTTTTGTGCTTTTATAATATCACATTTTCTTCAAATGTTCCAAAGACAAATTATAAATTAACATCCCAACAAAAACATAACATATACAAAAATGCATAAGTCTCACAACGCAATTCTTCTGCCGTAAAAACTTATGAAATCAACGTAAACCAAGTCGATTAATTCAGTACCTTTCTGTGAGAGCAAATATTTAACCATATATTTTTACAAATATTTAAACTTTCGAGAAAGATGAAATTTGTTCTAATATTATATTTGATCAATTTTACATTCACAATTGCTGTACTGAAAAATATTCTTACTGAAAAATGCTTCAAAATCCACTTTGTCCGTGGCACTCTGAGATGGGACTCGAACCCATGTCCTTTCGGAATCTGGGTAGCTCAGTGGTTATTGCAAACACATAAAATTTAAGCTTGTAGTTTACTCCACAACGAAGTTACAGAAGATCGAAAATGGCCTGAATGGCTTCGTAATGGTACGGCCGTACCCTTTTTACGTTTTTGCTCAACTTGGCGGGGGCACTGCTGTGCCTCCAGATAATGTTTAGAACAAAAATACATTTATGCTAATACACTCACTCTACAAATAGTTCAGATGTAAAGTAAATTAGTTTTGGCTTTCAATAATATTACAGAATTGGAAACGGTGATGTACTCTCTCTGACTGTGTCAAAAATAACAAAAAGCCATAAGTAAATTGTAACATATTTTTAACAACACTTAACGAATGCAATTAGCTATGGAGTAAATATTGCGAACGACTTGTACTATATAAGGTATAGACGTCGGTCGGTCCAATGCCAGCTGACAACGCAGGCGCAACGAAGGCCAGGCGCCTACGCAGCCCACGCTTATACCACCCAACATTAAAATTCTGTCATTGGCCACTAAAATATATTAATACAGATTATAATCTATTAAAATCAAACAAACTTAGTGAGGATTAAAAAAGATTATTGTTAAATGCGATTTATACAACGGTTTAAACAAAAAAGACATTTATGTTCATATATCCTGAGAGAGATACAAATATGGTTTTATATGCGGACCACTAATTAGAAAAAAAATTGCATATCGGTAGGTAGTAACTCTACTACCGAAATTCGAGCAGAACATTTTAGTACCAATTTTATAACAAACAGATATAGGTAAATCTTAAGTCAGTTTAAAATTGTTCATTCATTCATGGAAGTGCGCGTGTGAGTGTGAGTCAATTCCTTTATTGAGTCAGACATCATAATGTGATGGCAAGCAAAGGTGATTCAGAATGTAAATATTTTTTGCATCTGCTTTAAAATAACATAATAAGTAATATATTTCTTGAAATAAAATTCAATTTACCTCGGTAGGATTATTTGATCTTTTAAAAAAAAACAAAGTAGATATAGAAAATTACTTAAATTATTTTTATTATTAGGTTCTCGTTTCCATACTTTCTATATATAGGATTCAGATTATCTCCGTAAATGAGATAACAAAGATAAGAAATCAAACCTTCTTCAGTGACCCAATCAGCAATCGAACCCGCTACATCTAGAAATCGGTGTTCGACCCATTTGGCTACCGAGGTCGTCACAATCACAATATTCTGAGTTTAGATTTAATCCTGTCAAACTGCATT